AGTAAAAAAAAAGTTTTTTTTTTATCTTTTGTATGTGTTTGATTGTCTATTCACCTATTTTTATTTGTGTCTTTGTTTTTGCCTGTTTCTGTCAAACTATCTCTTATTAACTCATACACATAACAACAACAACAAAACAACTTTTACATTTATTTTCCTCTTATCCAGACATGAACTACGACTTCAATTACCAGCAAGCGAGAGTCCTGTCTGAAGAAATGACCATCTTGCCCGGAGATTCCTTCATCACCGAGTGCGGCTACGACTCGAGGGGAAAGAAAACGCCCACCTTCGTGAGGCTACGAGGATTATTTTATTGATTATTATTGATTTAACTATTAATTTATCTATCTATCTCTCTGTCTATCTATTTATCATTCTTTCTGTCTATGTGTCCGTCTGTAAGTCTATTTATCTGTCTGTGTGCCTACTTGTTCATTTATTTTTATAAAAACGACTAGCTTATTTATTTACACAGCTATTCCCTCTATAACTTTTATATAGACGGCTAGTTTATTTATTCACTTCTTTAGTTACTTATGTAATTATCTATTTATTTGTTTATCCATTCATTAACTCATTCAATACAAAAACGATTAAACTTTGTTAAACAAAATCACGAAAGGGAGACAAAAAACACACGAATATACCTTTTCACTTTATTGCTTCCCCAGGGCATCAGTACAGCGGAAATGTGGTTATTTTATTTCGGTTTTGTTCAGCAGGAGAGCTTACAATATGTTCCATAGTTTTGCTTTAATATGCCAATATGATATCAAGAACTATTATGACAAATCTTAAGTATACGTAAATAAATTTCATGTGAGAAAGATTCAGAAATTAGGGTTATTTCTTCCTTTAGGCACTGTAAATATTTCCTGATTTTGTATTATGACTTTTAGTTATCGTTTTTATAATTGTTAATCTCTCTGCTATGATTATTACCATCCACACTACCACCATACTCGTTATTATTCATAGTATCATAATCTATCTTATCTCCTTATATCTAGAACGATACTCTTAATAATTCCGAAATAAGACGCAACCATGTCAATGAAAACAAGTCAAATACCAGTTTTTTTTTCCACACAGGGAGGCGACAGTACACAAGAGGAGATGTGTCTTGCCTTCCTCGTCTACTATCCTCGGTCGAGAGTCAGCCGGTGCGTCTCCACTCCCGAAGTCTCCATCATCTATAAGAGCTTTGGTATCGAGGAAGTCTATGGCGATGGAAGGTAGGTAGGTGGTGTGTGAGGGTTTGACTATTGTTTAGGGTAAATGAAAACGAATTCATTATAGTTTCTGGGTATTGTTGTAGTTTAGGGTGATTAAATGCGAGGAGGAGTAGACAAAGAAGAAAAGACTCAATATTAGTATAGATATGTAGTACTGTATGTGTACACCATATACACACGCGGAATGTATATGTACATACTAATGCGACCTGTGGAAAAATCTCAGAGGTTTTATTAACGTGTTGTATATTTTTCAAGATGTATATTGTATTGTTTTTGTTTCAGGAACTCGGTTTACCGCAATGCGTGAGTTTATTGTCTGTTTAACGTTATTATAATTTATTATATTTTATAATATGATATATTCTACCTTAACAAGATCAATTTATATTCTATTTACGTTGCTATAGTATGGTATTCGTCCTTTACTTTAGGCAGATTGTAATTACAAATTACCGATATTTATTTGATATTTTGTTCTTCTATCTCATTTGTCATACATAACCATCGCTTCCCATATTTGTTTTCTTTCATCATCCTTCCTCTTTCCAATTCTACTTCTCTCTCTCTTCCTATCATTATCTTATTCTCTCGCACCCTAAAGTCGATACACACATGACGAAGAGAAAGAAAAGAGGCTGGTCGAGGAGATGAAGAAGAAAGCCGAGTGGGATGGGAAGCAGAAGGCAATTAGTATTGACTTCACGAAGATGTACAAGGACATTGTGGCAAAGGCTCCGAAAGGTATTAAAAAGATGAAGTTGTATTTGCTCTATGAATGTCGTTTTCCATGACGAAATTATTGGGATTGGTATTTTTATTCAATTCAATCACTACCGGTGCACACACACGCGCACACACACACACACACACACACACACACACACACACACACACACACACACACACACACACACACACACACACACATACATACATACACATACGTGGTATGAATATAGATAAGTAAATAACTACATTCCAGAGCATTTACGTATTAAAATCTTGCAGAGTTGTACAACGTGTCCATGTACGACCTGATCCACGACCCGAAGACCTGGCAGGACGAGCAGGCCATGGACGTCCTACAGGAGCGGGTCCTTTCCGGGAAACACGAGATCTTTTGCACGGACGAAAGCCATAACCTTTTTGAAGGAGTAAGGTTTTTTTTTTTATTTCTTTTCACATTTTACTTTTGAGAAGTGGAAGAATAGACTAGGAAGGAGAAAGGTGGGAGGAGAGCAAGAGAGAAGTGGAGAGAGAGAGAGGAGGGAGTAATGGAAAGGGAGGCAGGGGTTAGGATGGTAGAAAAGGTGAGAGAATGAGGGAGGGAGGGTGGTATATTTATATGCACACACACACAAACATACGTATATATATATATATATATATATATATATATATATATATATATATATATATATATATATATATATATATATATATATATATATATATATATATATATATATATATATATATATATATATATATATATATATAATATATAGATATATATATATATATATATATATATATATATATATATATATATATATACATACGTATGTTTGTGTGTGTGTGTGCATATAAATATACGTCCCTCCCTCCCTCCCTCCCTCATTCTCAGTATAAATATATATATATATATATATATATATATATATATATATATATATATATATATATGAATATACGTACATATATATATATATATATATATATATATATATATATATATATATATATATATATATATGTATATATATATATATATATATATATATATGTATATATATATATATATATATATATATATATATATATATATATATATATATATATATATATATATATATATGAATATACATACATACACACACACACACACACACACACACACACACACACACACACACACATATATATATATATATATATATATATATATATATATATATATATATATATATATGTATCTATGTATTTTTGCCCTTGATTTGGTGGCTTCTAGAGGGGAACTGCTGTTCAAGTGGGGTTCAGTTGCAATCGTCATCTAGGCTCTCGCCATGCCGATGGTTCTAAAGCGCCATAGATACATGGAGCCCATGCGGTCATCTGGTCTGCAGGCGTGATCTTGAGCTAATGGCTTAGACAAATCATGCTTACGTGGACGCCATATAGCAAGGCCAATCGGCGTGATTTGATTTGCCTCATGGGGTAACTCATCTTGTCTGGTCTCAATCGACTGGCTATTTCGTGTGAGTTGTGATAATGGAGTGAGTTGTGAGTGCCATGTTATGATGCCATTACATACGGGTCGTGATGCCAGTATTATCTTACGTATATTGTTATAATTATGTGATTATATTATACATACTGCCTTTCCTGTGGTATGTTACACCATGTGAAATATAGATTATGTTTAGTTTATATTGCTGTGTAGCATATCACCTGTGTGAAAGAGTGAAATTCTCTATACCATTCATAGAGTACAGTATATTATTTTGTCTCTCTAGTCACATGTCTAGCAGCGACACTCTGTCGGAGCCTGGCATGTGGGGCAGAGGGACATCAAGAGTTCCATTTTATTTTTGTCAGAACTGATCCCCAATGAACCTACTTTAGTTTTCATCGGTGTTTTTTCTCCCTTAAGTATCGTAGAGAAACACCAAATTACGTAAGACTCTTTCTCACGTTTACTATCCTCGATCCATTCTCGTAGCTACTCGTCCTTGTCATCCTTTTCCTCTTCTTGGTATTTGGTGTAATCCATTCGTCCTCGAAGGTCTTGTTCGGATTCATCTAGACAGACACATACACACACTATATATATACACACATATATATATTCCAAATTCTAACAATGTTAATCCCAATAACAACCCTTCTTGCAGTATCCCCGAACCTATGAATACCCGGACTTTTTGGCCATCAAGTTGCTGGACGAGGAGTGTGACGTCAGCCACGAGGCAGAGGCATACGAGCCCGATATGAAACAAGGTCAAGGTAGGCAGGTTGCAGTTTGGCTGCTATGAAGCGGACCTTTGATGAAAAATTTAATTTTATCATAAATTTCGAATATAGATTTGTATTTTCATTTATGAAGATAAGTTAATGAAAAAAAATATACATACACCAAAAAATTGTGATCTTGAAGCTTTACCAAATATCATTACTATCAACAAGTAATAATCAGTTCATTGTAATTCTCTTGTGATTTGTTATGGATATTCCTCTTTACAAAAACAGACCTAAACCAAGAGGAAGAAGCAACCAAGAGTGAGACTCCCAAAGAAGAGGCAAACAATGCACCCTCTGTGGCTATATATACATCAACCATCATTTTACTTGCCTGTCTGTGTGTCTTTTAGCAAAAGGTTTATCAGTAAATGATGATGCCGAGATGTTGTGCCGAAAGAAATCAGTGAAAATGTTGAAATGAAGTACTGTAAATATATCAAAAGAATAGTCAAGGGAAATGGATAGGTAAGCTTGGTTACTAAATTTGTTTTAGTATGTGTTGTTTGATCTTGCGGATCTTATTAGAGAAAAGGTGTGATACATAGGCAAGTATATACGAACGCATGCAGGGTGGCAAAGTCGCCTAAACAACCACATGTACTTTTGAATTAACGCATTACTTATGTTAACACTATGTCTTTGAACAGGGAATACTAAACTATATTGAATATGAAAACGATGTACATATTCTTGCTTTATTTCATTAACCATGGGGAATCCAATACAGTAGTTTTGATTAGCAATTATGTGTTTCATTTACCTGTTAACGCTATTTCGGGAGTAGTTCAATGTAAGCAATTGCTAACAAGACGTCAAGAAACAGACAGATAGACTCACACATAAACAGACAAATATAAACATTTATGACATTGGGCTAATTGTCAGCACAGGTCAATCTTAATGGTTGAATAATCTAATTAGTGAATTGCTCAAATAGCCTAATCTTATGCAGTAGCTTTGGAGAGCTCAAGACAGCCTGATTGCATCTCCTGCCACTGCATGGAAATGCAATCAGAGGAATATTTCACTGGATTTACTTTGAAAGCACGAAATATACACACAGAAAAGCAAGATATATACAAGCAGTACGCACAGGATGTCCTCGAATGGCAGCTCCTCCTCCAGGGTGTCCTCAGACGGCAGCTCCTCCTCCAGGGTGTCCTCAGACGGCAGCTCCTCCAGGGTGTCTTCGGACGGCAGCTCCTCCTCCAGGGTGTCCTCAGACGGCAGCTCCTCCTCCAGAGTGTCCTCGAATGGCAGCTCCTCCTCCAGGGTGTCCTCAGACGGCAGCTCCTCCTCCAGAGTGTCCTCGAATGGCAGCTCCTCCTCCAGGGTGTCCTCGACGGCAGCTCCTCCTCCAGGGTGTCCTCAGACGGCAGCTCCTCCAGGGTGTCCTTCGACTGGCAGCTCCTCCTCCAGGGTGTCCTCAGACGGCAGCTCCTCCTCCAGAGTGTCCTCAGAATCGGCAGCTCCTCCTCCAGGGTGTCCTCAGACGGGACAGCTCCTCCTCCAGGGTGTCCTCAGACGGGCAGCTCCTCCTCCAGAGTTTCCTCGAATGGCAGCTCCTCCTCCAGAGTGTCCTCGAATGGCAGCTCCTCCTCCAGAGTGTCCTCGAATGGCAGCTCCTCCTCCAGAGTGTCCTCGAATGGCAGCTCCTCCTCCAGAGTGTCCTCGAATGGCAGCTCCTCCTCCAGGGTGTCCTCGACGCAGCTCCTCCTCCAGGTGTCTCGAATGGCAGCTCCTCCTCCAGGTGTCCTCGAATGGCAGCTCCTCCTCCATGGTGTCCTCGAATGGCAGCTCTCCTCCAGGGTGTCTCGAATGGCAGCTCCTCCTCCAGGGTTGTCCTCAGACGGCAGCTCTCCTCCAGGGTGTCCTTAGACGGCAGCTCCTCCAGGGTGTCCTCGATGGCAGCTCCTCCTCAGGGTGTCCTCGAACGGCAGTTCCTCCAGGGTGTCCTCAGACGCAGCTCCTCCTCCAGAGTGTCCTCGAATGGCAGCTCCTCCAGGGTGTCCTCGAACGGCAGTTCCTCCAGGGTGTCCTCAGACGACAGCTCCTCCTCCAGGGTGTCCTCGAACGGCAGCTCCTCCTCCATGGTGTCCTCGAATGGCAGCTCCTCCAGGGTGTCCTCGAATGGCAGCTCCTCCTCCAGGGTGTCCTTAGACGGCAGCTCCTCCAGGGTGTCCTCGAATGCAGCTCCTCCTCCAGAGTGTCCTCGAATGGCAGCTCCTCCAGGGTGTCTCGAATGGCAGCTCTCCTCCAGGGTGTCCTCGAACGGCAGTTCCTCCAGGGTGTCCTCGAACGGCAGTTCCTCCAGGGTGTCCTCGAATGGCAGCTCCTCCTCCAGAGTGTCCTCGAATGGCAGCTCCTTCAGGGTGTCCTCAGACGACAGCTCCTCCTCCAGAGTGTCCTCGAATGGCAGCTCTCCTCCAGGGTGTCCTTGGACGGCAGCTCCTCCAGGGTGTCCTCAGACGCAGCTCCTCCTCCATGGTGTCCTCGAATGGCAGCTCCTCCTCCAGAGTGTCCTCGAATGGCAGCTCCTCCAGGGTGTCTCGAATGGCAGCTCCTCCTCAGGGTGTCCTCGAATGCAGCTCCTCCTCCAGGGTGTCCTTGGACGGCAGCTCCTCCAGGGTGTCCTCGATGGCAGCTCCTCCTCCAGGGTGTCCTCGAACGGCAGTTCCTCCAGGGTGTCCTCGAATGGCAGCTCTCCTCCAGGGTGTCCTTAGACGGCAGCTCCTCTCCAGGGTGTCCTCAGACGACAGCTCCTCCTCCAGAGTGTCCTCGAATGGCAGCTCCTCCTCAGGGTGTCCTCAGACGGCAGCTCCTCCAGGGTGTCTTCGGACGGCAGCTCCTCCTCCATGGTGTCCTCGAATGGCAGCTCCTCCTCCAGGTGTCCTCGAATGGCAGCTCCTCCAGGGTGTCTCAGACGGCAGCTCCTCCAGGGTGTCCTCGAACGGCAGCTCCTCCTCAGGGTGTCCTCGAATGGCAGCTCCTCCAGGGTGTCCTCAGACGGCAGCTCCTCCTCCAGGGTGTCCTCGAACGGCAGTTCCTCCTCCAGGGTGTCCTCGAATGGCAGCTCCTCCTCAGGGTGTCCTCGAATGGCAGCTCCTCCAGGGTGTCCTCGAACGGCAGCTCCTCCTCCATGGTGTCCTCGAATGGCAGCTCCTCCAGGGTGTCTCAGACGGCAGCTCCTCCAGGGTGTCCTTGGACGGCAGCTCCTCCTCAGGGTGTCCTCAGACGGCAGCTCCTCCTCCAGGGTGTCCTCGAATGGCAGCTCCTCCAGGGTGTCCTCAGACGGCAGCTCCTCCTCCAGGGTGTCCTCGAATGGCAGCTCCTTCAGGGTGTCCTCAGACGGCAGCTCCTCCTCCAGGGTGTCCTCGAATGGCAGCTCCTCCTCCAGGGTGTCCTCGAATGGCAGCTCCTCCTCCAGGGTGTCCTCGAACGGCAGTTCCTCCAGGGTGTCCTCGAATGGCAGCTCCTTCAGGGTGTCCTCAGACGGCAGCTCCTCCTCCAGGGTGTCCTCGAATGGCAGCTCCTCCTCCAGGGTGTCCTCGAACGGCAGTTCCTCCAGGGTGTCCTCGAATGGCAGCTCCTTCAGGGTGTCCTCAGACGGCAGCTCCTCCTCCAGGGTGTCCTTATACGACAGCTCCTCCAGGGTGTCTTCGGACGGCAGCTCCTCCTCCAGGGTGTCCTCGAACGGCAGCTCCTCCGGCGTGTCCTCAGACGGCAGCTCCTCCAGGGTGTCCTCAGATGGCCGTTCCTCCAGGATGACCTCGGACAGAAGCTACGTTCATTCCCTTCGTACAGTCCTTGGCTTCGCCACTTGACCGGCGATTGCATGTCCTGTTAGACAGTGTGAGCAAGTTCTGATTTCCTCCATGAAGAGGAAGAACCAGGTCACGTTTCTGCAAGTCCGCTTACACGAGCAGGTAAGTCCCCTTCTTTTGGACAGTATTATTATAGTTCTAGATTAAGCATTCCATTTTCTAGTTATGAGCATCATCGTTTATACAATAGCATGCGTTACACTAAATTAGATGTTGATGATACATTTCTCCAAGTTCGCTAGTCTTTTAGAATGCTTAGAGAAGTCACCCCAGCTCAGTTTGTTGACGACCTTTTAGCCATTGCAGCACGTATATCTTCCTTTGAAAATGAACGTCATCAAAGTTCCCTCCGCAATAAACTTAATAATCTTTGCTTACCCAACGTAGTGCATGGTGTAAATTTTCGCCTACTGATTCGGTTGTAAATTTATTGTCTTATCACGTTATGAAACCAAACTTTAAGGTTTGTTTTATCGTTTGCTTCCAAACCCACTGATAGTCATTGTTTAGATTACATTAAAGGTCTTGATAGTTTCGCTGCAAAGTAAAGCAAATCCTAGATTAAAGTTCTCAGCTACCTTAAGGGTGTTGTTAAAACTGACTCTTGATTTATTTAACGATTTCAAAGACTTACCCCGAAATCATTTAAGCACAATTTGGACATTATAATTACCAAAGCCGACAAATGTAATAACGTAGTTATCCTAAATAAATCTGAAGCAAAGTTCATTTCCTCTTGTACGACAACTCAGTGTTTCAAAAATTGCGTTCCAACCCTAACCCATCTGTCACGGAAATTCTAATCTCTCAACACTAATCCTTTGATCGCTTTACGACAGTAAATCCCTCTATTCTGTAATTTCATGGCCTTCCTAAAGCTCACAAACAGGGTGTCCCTCTAAGCCCTTTTATTTCACCTTGCAACACTCATGAGAAGATCCCTATTCCGGTCAAATGCTTTATCGATCTCACTCGTCTGTGTGGCACGAATAATGTCTTTACTTTTGACAGTGAATTTTATTAACAGTTTAATGGTATCGCGATGTGAAGTAGCTTCAGCCCGATTCTTTCGAATTTATACATGGAGAGGTATGAATCTGAACTTCCATCTATTCTCCCTCCTGACACGATTTGGTTTCGTTATGTTGATGGTATTTTTTCTTTGTGCCAATTGAACCATTTAGACTTCTATGATTGCTTCAGAATACTCAACCACCCTGCACATACTATCAATTTTAAGGTAGTATGGGAAGATTCAGGTAAATTACCATTCTCGTCGTTTTGTTTATTCAGTGTGAATGGCTAGCTTAAATTTTCAGTTTACCGTGAACCTACTTACACCGCAAATTACCTTCATTTTTTTTTCTCGAATCACCCGTTGTATGTTAAACGACGGCAGTCTTGTTAATGTTCCTTAGGGTTTATAGGATTTGTGATAATAGATTTATTGATCGGGAGCTCGATGTAATTTTTGAAACGTTTTCAAAATTAGGATATCCTTCTTAAAGCAGGCACATTCATCTGGGAAATTAAAATTTTATACTGACTCCCATAATACTTGAGAGGATAGTGATAGTTATCTATTGATTATAACATATAACCCGACGGAGAACGACATATATTTAAAAGTGCTAGAAATAACATTGTTTTTACATATCCGAACATTTTGCTAAATATTTTGGTTAAGCATCAATACGGCCGGCGGTGCTCTTGAGAATTCTTCTGGTATTTAGACTATACCTTGTAAGGATTCCCCCAAGTTGTACATAGGCGAGACCGGTAGAGCTTTCGAAGAAAGAAAGAAAAAAGAAAATATACGTAACATAATATTAGATATCCCAAAGAATCAAATACGTGTTTCGTTTATTTACATGATGAAGGTCACCAGCTTAACTGGCAAAGCGCCAAATTAAT